CAGTCTCTGAGCAGCAAGGGCTGAACCTGCCTGACAGCTGGAGTGGTGAGTGACCACAATGGCCAGCAGCCCCCGTGGGAGCCGCTCTGCAGGGCCAGCAGAGCTGCTGTGGAGCATGGCAGTGCTGCAGGGGGCTTGCAGGGCTCTGGCCCACTCCAGACCCCGGTGCTGCTGTGCACAGTCTGCCGCAGCTCTGCCAGCCCCGCAGCACAGCGCCCCCGCTGGGAAGGGGCTCATGTTCCCCCACATTATGACAGGGGCTGCTGCACCCAACAAGGGCCCTGCCCTCTCCCACTGCAGTGGTGGGAAGGGGGAATGGCCAGGTAGGGCCCCTGGCAGGGGGTGGCAGGGAGCGCAGTGGGGAGGGTAGGAAGACCTGGCTGTCAGTGGAGGTAGAGGGGAGACTAACTGTTCTCCCTGCCCCACTCTGCCCCAGGGGCCATGGTGTCCCGCTGCTGCAGCAGTGAGAGGGGAGTGCCCAGCAGACCTAGCTTGGGTCCCTGCCAGTGGGATAGATAGGGAGGAATTAAACCCCTCCCTGGCCAGACCCCTGCCCTGCCTCTCCCTGCTCATGCTGTGGAGCGGAGCAGCAAGGCCAGCCTGGCTGGGTTGGAGCAGAGAGCCCAGCCCAGAAAGCATGCTGGGATGCTGGGGGTCTCTGGTTTAACTTAAACTAGCAAGGTGTCTGGGACAGACATTGCATAAACTGGTTTGAGCCAAATCAGTTAAGTCTGATGCTACATCCAACCAGGTTTATCTCAAAACCATTTTGAAACTGGTTTATGTGCACTGAATGTCTGTTCTGTTATGGGTTTAAACCAGATTCTGGTCACTTAAAACCCGTGTATGTGCAATGTCTGTCCCTAGCCCCAGTATAGTGCCCTTCTCATTGGACTATAGAGGATACCACAGTCCATAAGGTTAGACTAGTAGTATTTTATTTTAAAAAGAAGATCCCCCAGCACATCACTCCATCACAGAGCCCTGGAAGCAACAGGACTAATGTGCTTAATATAGCCAAATGATTATGGCCTTCTGTTTTAAAAAGCCACCCAAGATAATTTAATGTGTAATATTGATATGGAAGATGTATGGTCTATTGTGTCAATGCAGCTGCTGTGTATTAGTACCCTGTCAACATCTTAACATTCCTGATTCTATTTTTGGTGTGAAGCAAGTTTAATGGGAGTTCCTACTTCTCCAAAGGAAGTAGTTTGTTCATGTGCACTGTTCCCATCTTGGAACCATCCCAACAGAAAGAGGAAAAACAAGTATAAACATATAACTTAAAACCAATCCCCTGCATTGTAATTCAGTAACATGGACAAGAAACATGTTTTGGCTGGAAAGTAAATGCATTAATTACAGGACCACTAAAAATATGATACTACATCTCTAGATTTTAAAACCTATAGACGATCAAGCTGGAGAGGATAAATCATAGTTAGTTTTTTGAAAGCTCAACATCAACATTTTATTTTTTCCAAGAGTCATCACTATACACTCTTATTTTAGTGCTTTCCTGGTCTCAGACAGACGAACCAACATTGCTTGGTGCAGTTTTGCCCAAAGTGTTTAGTAGTCCCAATTAGGCCTCACTGAAATCAAGGTGCTGGTGGAAAAGTGTTTCTTTGAACAGTTAGGTACTCTGGGAATTTAAGAAAGAAGTGTTTTTTATCCAGTTTTTAGTGGACAAATCCAGTCACAAGCCCCAGCCCAAGCACAATTAGCACTAATTGATGGTCTTGTTGGTAATCTCAACGAAGTGCAAGGTCTTGCTAGAGTGAATGGGCCAATCTCTGTTTGAAGCAATGGTCCCAAGATAGAAGCTCATTATCAGCACTTCTACCTGTTCTGGAGATAAATCTTTAGGTTATAGAGCTGTCAAGATATTACTTTCAGCTGGTACCACCATCTCAAATACATATAACAATTGCTTAGGCTGGGTGAATTTCCTTTACAACAACAGCATTCAGTGTGTATTACAGCACAGAGTAGAGGGGGAAAAAAGAGAGTTGACCAGGACCACAATTCCCCAGCACATCATGGGAGTGGGGGCAGAGCGTATGGATCCTGACTCTGCAGCAGTAACAATAAAATGTCCTGGTGATTCAGTCATGAGTTTCTATGTGTGTATCTGGGTTTGTTTATGAGTAATGAACAGTACCCCCCATTACTCAGGACAGATTGTAAAATTACAGGCTAGCCCTTAACACTGTCACAGTTTACTACTTAAATAAAAATTGGAAGCATCTCTACAAGTATCTGCTTAGATCTTAAATTCTAGAGGCAAATCTCTACTAGGTTCTTCCTAGTGACGATTAAGGTACAGAACAGTTTGGCTGGGGAGAACTGATACCAATGGAAAATAAATTACTTTAATAGCATCTTGAATCATCTTTTCTCAGCTGTCACCATTTTCATCCTCAATATGCCTGCAGGGGAGACTTTGCCCTCTTGTCAGGCTTAAGGCAAGTGAATTTTCGGTGCAACTGTGATTGACAAGACCACAATGGCTTGTCAGGGAGGCTGTGTTTTTTAATAAAATGACTTCAGGAAGATTGTAATGGGATAGCTTCCTAGTCAAGAGCTGTGAAACTGAAAATTCTGTCCAAAGACGAGAGACATCAGTCCTTCTGTATCCCCTTTCCTTGTATTATCTATTTGTATTCCCCTTGGGGAAAACAGAGAGGCTTCTATTATTTCCTGTACTGATCTCTCTCTCTCTCTCTCTCTCTCTCTCTCTCTCTCTGTGTCTTTTGCCACTGAAACATCCCAGCAATGCCAGGAGGCTGGTATGCCCTGGGATGTAAGAATAGTGCACAATGGCAGAGATTACTTGTTGTCCTTTGTCTACTGGCAGTTGTCCGGAGAGGGGGCCCATAGAGGTAAGTACAGCAAAATGATCTGTGAAGCTAGCACTTTTTTGTTAAGCCAACTGTATTTTCTAAGAAAGACTTGCAAGAGTCAGCACCCCCTTTCATTCCTTCATGAAAATAACCCTTCATCAATAATGCTTCTAGTGAATGGGTTTCCCATTGCCCCATTTTTATTATTTTCTTCTTCTCTAGGTTTAGTTTGCTTAGAAATGGCAGATTTCCTTCTGAAACTTCAGAAGCTGGAAGTGTAGTGAACCACTTCAGAAATGGAGCACTGGGATTCACTGGGGTTTTTGATTATCACTCTCAACTACAATGTGACCATTGTTGGTAAGTATCTTTAAAAGATGTATTTTTTTTTTTTGCAGAGTTATATGCAAGACTCGTTGCAGTTTCTTCCCTGGTAACCGACTTTCCTTTCTAGCCACCCATCTGACTGGACTCATCGCAGAGGAGAGGCAATTGCTTTGCTACAGAATACATTGGTAGTTAATATATTTGTGATTTTTAGTAGATACCTCCTATGAATATTTTTCTGAA